TTTTTGATGGGCTTTCGAATGGTGTATGAATTATTTGTGTTGTTATTACAAGTGTTGCTGTGACCCCCTAGGAAAAGGTTATGCCCCGCCCTGTAGAGATATAGCATGGATAGCAAAATCATATTTTTTTGCTTAGGCCAAGCGTTCCTCTGATTACATACAATGTATATTTATCTATAAATATAGATCTATTTTATTTGTATATAAAATTTGAGATCAGCCTATACTTAACAGCTTCTCATTCATGTTCATAGGCAATCAGGCTTTTCATGAAACTGTCACAAAGACAATTCATTTCATTGCCATACTGCATGAAAAATTACTTGAATCAATGCATTCTTAAGAAATCTTGAACACTATATCAAAACTGCTTTCTTTTTTCTTTATTGGCTTGCAGGCCTGAAGACAATTGTAGGGGCCCTCATTCAATCTGTGAAGAAGCTCTCAGATGTCATGATCTTGACCGTGTTTTGTTTGAGTGTATTTGCACTAATAGGGCTCCAACTTTTCATGGGGAACCTGAGGCATAAATGCCTGCTTTGGCCACCGGACAATTCTACTTATACAATAAACGTCGTTTCCTATTTCAATAGCTCAATGGGAGAAAACGGTACCTTTGTAAATACGACAGTGACCACTTTTAACTGGGAAGAATATGTCCGTGATGACAGTAAGAACGAGAGATTTTTTTAATTTATTTATAAAATTTATTGGCTGTCCATCTTACCAATAGGGCAATACTGGGCAGCTTACAGTTACTTCTTAGTTAAAACATAGAATGTTAAAACCAAACCTTAAAACTTACATATTCTTTATGTTTTAACCTTTCTTCCAAAAGTTATCCTTAGCAGAAATGGTGCATTGTAAGCAAATGCTATGGTTGGTTTGCTATGTTATTCTGTTTCCAACCCAAGGAATATTGGTTTTGCTCTTTTCTACTGCAGGTAGTCCTTGACGTATGACCACAATTGAGTTCAAAATTACTGTTGCTAAGCGAGACATTTGTTAAATAAATTATGTCCCATTTTACGATCTTTCTTGGCACACTTGTTAGGTGAATCACTGCAATTGTTAAGTTAATAAATAGTTGTTAAGTAAATCTGGCTTCTCCATTGCTTGTCTCCATGGCTTGTGAGAAAATTGCAAAAGGTGATCATATGACCCCAGAACACTGCAACCATCATAAATATGAGTCAGTTGCCAAGCGTCTGAATTCTGATCATGTCACCATGGAGATGCTGCAACCGTTATACGTGTGAAAGCGGTCATAAGTCACTTTTTTCAGTGCTAACTTCAAGCAGTCACTAATTAAACTGTTTTAAGTTGAGGACTACCTGTATTAGTATAAACATTAAGAAAATATGTTAAATTGTGGTTTAAATTGTGACAAATTGCATTTTGTACTTTCTTATATTGTGGATTACTTTAAAAAAAATAGCGAGACATTCCAGAAAGATTGCCATATGAGTTTAACAAAACACAAACAAAAAAGTGTGATTTGGGAGCCTTTAAAAGGCCTTTCCTTTTTGCTGATTTTGCTGAAATACTATCCAGCCATTCTTCAATCTGCAAAAAGTGATGCCAGCATGATATTCCTGACATCATGGCTATTGTGCTTCTCTTGCTTCTGCTCCCAGTCACTTAGATCTTCCTTCCAAAACGGGAAGAGAGCACGTGAGTTGGGAAGCCACTGTCTCCAAGGGGTAAAATCTAATTGTTAGAAAAATTCGACTCACTCTGACATCCAGCTAAAAGCAAAATGTTGAGATTGGAGATTGGGGGGGGGGGGGAGACGAGGAGGACATCCTTCAATGACCCAATTGGAGGTCACCGGCCTCCCTTAGGACCCAGGATGTTTCTTCAGATGAGGTCTTGTTCCATTTTTCCAATGATGAAAACAAATTTGATCTGGCTTTAGCTGGCCTCTGTGACCATCTAGCACTGAACTGAAGGCTTGCTTTCTCCTCAACAGATAATGAGTAGGCCACTTGGATATGAGGATGAGGAGGGCATGTGGGAGGCCACGTCCGGGCTGTTCATTTCTCTAAAAATTAAGGGTGGCAAAGCCTAATGGTTTTTGTACACTTTAAGATTATCCTTAGATGACATCCGAATACAGGAAAACATTTATACAGCTATTGCAAGCACTCATCAGCTACCAATGGCTTGGCAACATCATACATAGGGAGGAAAAAACGTTGCCAGGGGGGAAAAATTGGCATAATTAGATGCAATTGAAAAATATCTGAAGATTTACAGATTTGTTCTGACATGTAGATGGACACCAAGTCCAGCAGATGCAAAAATGAAAAAGGCTCCGGTGTGACCTTTTTAGACATTGCTGTCAGTTGTAGCATTAGTGGGAAAGCAAGGTCCCTCTGGGTGCTACATTGAACAAACAGATCAGACTTTAGGCACACAAAAATTAATGAACACACGTTTGACAACAGGATTCAAAACAAGGAGAAAGTAATCTCAGAGGATTTTAAACTCCCAGGATATTGATTACCGATCTCAAGGTTACTATTTTGGAGCAAAGAAATGATTCTCCATAGAATGAGAGGCTGCTGAATTCCCCTATGTCAGGCTGTTGCACAAAGTCTTTACAAACAGATGAGTGTTTAATGCATTACAATTCTTAACTGTAATCTTTTACACATACAGTCTGCATCTGTATAACCACTCTTCTCCTCTCCCTTGCGTCTTGCTTATTCCAATCTTACATCAGTTTAATCCCCCTACACATCTCATGAAGAACATTGTAGCTTGTGCCTTTTAATAAAATTGTTAGCATTTTAGCTTGAAATAGTTAACCTACCAGACTTCGGTTTTTTTAACTAATAGACTAGCTCAGTATTTCTCCTATAACATTGTTGTAATTATTTGTTAGTCTTTAGGATTCCACAAGTCTGTTTAGCTTATTTGTGCTAACAGTGACTTTTAGTGTAAGTAAATATAGCCAATTCTCTTTCCAAATAGGTCACTTTTACTTCTTGGAAGGACAAAATGATGCTTTGCTGTGTGGCAATGGTTCAGATGCAGGGTAAGAGAATAATCTGTTATATATATATTGTTATTTATATAATAAATTATTTGTTTGGAAATTGCTACTGAAATGATGGTAAGGGTAAACAGTTTAACACTTCTCTGAAGTGTTTCAAATTTGATAATATGAGGGTGGGGCAGACCTTTGCTGCTTAAATATTTGCAGCTAACTTTAAGCTGTAAATATTGGAGATGGAAAGAGCTATGAACCATTTCTTCACTTCTTTTTATCAGTCTAACTTTATTTATCTTGAAACTTGGAAATTTCTAAAGTCAAAATAAGCCTCTTTCTTGGTTTCTGGTCTTTAACTGTTATTTAAAGAGATATTGTTCTGGTAGGACTGCATCTTATGATACTGCCTTAAGGATGTAGTTTAACCAATCAATAATTTTCCCTAGTTAATATTAAAAACAGACCTTTCTCAACTTGGTGTCCTCCAATGTTTTGCATTTTAACTAGTTTAATCCTTCATCCCACATTGCCAAATTAAAATCCATCATTTTGGAGGGCATCAAATTGTGGTCAGTCTTTGTGTGTAATTGGTATTCTTGGATGGTTTCATAATACATTTTCAAGTGAGTATAATTTTCATTCTATTGAAAATTAACAGGCTGCTTGCTCAAGCCTCAGTCTGTAGTAAAGCATACATTGATTAGGATAATCTTTAAAAATGGCAATTTTTTCCTTTTTCTAGTCAATGTCCAGAAGGATATATGTGTGTAAAAGCTGGTAGAAACCCCAACTATGGCTATACAAGTTTTGATACCTTCAGCTGGGCCTTCTTGTCACTATTTCGGCTGATGACTCAGGACTTCTGGGAAAATCTTTACCAACTGGTGAGGGTCTTTGTAAGCAGGAAGTACCAGTAGTAGCACTGAGGCTGACGGTGTAAAGCAGCATTTTAATATGAGCACCTGAATGAATTGCAAACAAAAGTTTACAACTGTTATGCCACGATGAACTGTTTCTGAAGCATAACAGTTGTATACTCAAATGCTCAAATAAAGAACTTCAAAGTCTTCTTATTTCATTGAGAGTTAAATGTATACAACAAGGTCTTAATTTTCATCAAATGAGAGCCATCTAGGCTTTACTTGGCATACTGAGGCCTGCGTTCCAAAATAGGTGGGACTCCAAATTAGTGATCATTTTGAGAGGTTGAAGAGTATGGGAGACAAGGGGTCTGCAATCATGAGGCATTTTTTCCCTTTTGATGTCCAAATTCTCCACAATGTAAACAAGTACCCAATACTTGTCCCTATCCTCTGTGAGTGACTTGCTGGTCAAAAAAGGAATAATGATAGGTTACATGCAGCCAGAACTTTTTGCATCACTGGTATCCAACTTTGGTAACCATTTTGGCATGAACATTGGAGCTCTTGGGCAACAGAGAACCATTCCAACTTCCCTTTCTCAAAGGAATAGCAATAGCACTTAGACTTATATACCATTTCACAGTGCTTTCCAGCCCTCTCTAAGCGGTTTACAGAGTCAGTGTCCCCAACAATCTGGGTCCTCATTTTACCCACCTCAGAAGGATGGAAGGCTGAGTCAACCCTGAGGCTGATGAGATTTGAACAGCCAAATTGCAATCAGCCGGCAGTCAGCAGAAATAGCCTGCAGTACTGCGCTCTAGCCACTGCACCACCACAGCTCATGGAACTTCATGTTATTAACCCCTATAGCCATAAAGATTGCTGAGATAGGGATTCTATTACCAGGAAATACCAAGGAAAAGAACCCACAATGTCATGGAGTGCTGCAGTCCCTTACCTGATACCAGGAGCTATTACTGGATTGTGGGAGCCTTCCTGTTGGTTTTTCCACCCAAGACAAACATTACTTTCAGGGTCAGCAACTTGAAAACTTCAAATGTTCTCATAAGCCCTAATAGCTCTCATAATTCTTATAGCTCTCATAAGGGTAAGGTAACTTGGCTATCTGCAGGGCACCATGTCATCTATTCCTACATTGGCCCTATAAATAATTCATTTCACAAATCAGATAAAAGTGAAGGGGCAAGATCCTATTCTCTGCCCAGTTAAACGTCCTCCAGATGAACTCCATAATCTTCAGACAGCATCTCATGGATAGCTTTTTTTAAAGGAAATGGGAAGAAAAGCTCTTAAGTGAGTAAGAGGAAGTGAAATAGAGAACGTTGACCAGCATCCCACTGCTCTCTACAAAACATAGTTTTGCTGGTTGTTTCAGTGCATTGCCTATGCTCCTACTCACCATACTGCTCAGTGTAGTTCGTAAAATGACAAACAGGTACATTAGAAGCAACCATAATATTGCACAAGTACAGAAGTATGGGCTATATTTATGCAACATCTTTGGCAGGGTCAGGTAGCAAATGCACTTGCTTGAGGGACATGCTGAGTTTGGTTAGTGTTCATCTCCATTGTGACTTAGCAATTGGTTATAAGGTGAAGCAAGTTAACCTTAACACACCCTTCCTAATTTGGTCCCTAGCCAGTAATTTTTGATGTTATCTTGAAACACAGCTGAGTGAAGCAAAGGTTGATAATCTTTACTTCCATTCCAGTTATTACTGAACTTCATTTTTTATTGTTCCCATCATTGGTCACCCTAGCTACTGATGGTAAGAGTTGGAATTAAGTAATGCCTGTAGGGCCATACATTCTTCCCTGCTGTCTTATTGTGCGTGTTGACAGAATTGGAAAAGCCTCAAGTGGAATGTCCCAGTTTTCCTTAATCATTTCTTTATGTTTAAGATAGCGGAAGTACCTCTGTCTCAGTGATGAAGGGAGGTGTATTCCAGCTGTACTAGCTCAGAAGCCCAAATGTGTCCTTAACATGCAACCTTGTACATAAACTCACACACATTTAACCAATAAAGTCTCATAAGATTAGAACACTGTTTGTCTTATGCTCACTCCCTAGACTATAAGAAAAAAAGGAGGCTAATATGTTTGGGAGGATTGTTTTAAAACTATTGATTCTTTATTTTCTTTTATAGACTCTACGTGCTGCTGGCAAAACGTACATGATCTTTTTTGTCCTGGTGATTTTCTTGGGTTCTTTCTACCTGATCAACTTGATCCTGGCTGTT